CTTTTACTAATAAAAATACTTTAATAAAAAAAAAAAAAAAGCAGGGGATTCTGGAGCTTGTAGTAGTCCCAATATCTGGAGCAGTGGTGGGTTTGTACGGGTTTCACTACCGGTTCGCTTGTGCGTGCGTGATGCTTCTGTGCATGCGGAGAAGTGTCTGGGCGGGTGGCCTCTCACTGCCACTACCAGTTTGGCCAAACTGGGCCGAACTGGGAGTAACCTACGTCTGATATGGAGGTTCCTAGACTTTGTGAGGACTGCATTAGGCTGGGAGACTTAGCTCCTGGTGTCTTCTTAACCACACATAATGTTAAACCATAATCAGAGTTAATAGGGGTTAGAGTGTTGTGTAAACCGTAACAGAATAGGGATCTTGGAGGTCTTCTAGTCCAACCCCCTGCTCAAGCAGGAGACCTTCTACCATTTCAGACAAATGGATGTGCAGTCTCTCCTTAAAAACCTCCAGTGATCGAGCACTCACAGCTTCTAAAGGCAAGCTGCTCCACTGATTGATTGTTCTCACTGCTAGGAAATTTCTCCTTACTTCGAGTTTGCTTCCCTCCTTGATTAATTTCCAACCATTGTTTCTTGTCTGCCCTCGGGGGCTTTGGAGATTAGGTTGACCTTATCTTCTTTGTGGCAGCCCACGAGATATTGGAAGACTGCTATCATGTCACCCCCTAGTCCTTCTTTTCATTAGATTAGACACAGCCAATTCCTGCAAGCATTCTTCATATGTTTTCGCCTCCAATCCCTCAATTATCTTTATTGCTTTTTTTTCTGTGCTCTTTCTAGAGTCTCAAATTTATTTTTATATTGTCTTGACCAAACATGGATACAATAGTCCAAGTGGCAATGTTCCCCCCCCCCTAAAAAAGAGTTTATGCTGAAATATGTAAGCGCAACTGTGCATTCATGTCAATGTGATGAATAAATGCAGTAAACAATTTGATGCATTGAGTGAAGGTAGCTGTATTTGACTCAAATGGTTCCACCACAAAACCGCGGTAGACTAAAGCGCGCTCGACGAAAGCGCGTACGTGACATCATCACAGCGCGACGAAAACAGCACGCTGTGAACGGGAAACTTAAAAATAACGCGAAAACCTTACCCTAACCCCCCTAAACCTAACCCTAAGCCTAACCCTTAACCTAACCCTAAACCTAACCCTAAGCCTAACCCTTAACCTA